TTGGCCTAGGCAACAAAGAAGTGGAAGCAACAAAACAAAAAGAAGACACATGAAAGGCAACATAGTTGTGATGGTAAGGTGACTGAAGAATTTATTCCAAAGCACCTACCAATGCGACTGACAAAGCAAAATCATATGACAGTTTCAACAACAACATGATCCAGTAAATCCAAAAAGAAGTGAAGAACTATCAAGTTTTGTTGGTCATATTTGACGAAGAAGAGAAGAGGGAAATACTTCAGGTTACTTTACACGGGCAATCCATCTCTTTTAATTTTTATATATATAAAATGAAGTTTGAGGTTGATAACTCAGCTTTATTCTTAGATTTTGTATTTTTGCATTACTTAAGCATCCTCATTTGTAGTATCATCATAGAGTGTATCATAAACTCTATGATGAACACAAAATATTTAGTTTTCTCTAGCTCTTATTTTCTTCATGCTTGTTAATTAGTAGATGTTCGTTACCTCATTAAGATTAGTAAGGTAAGGCCTAGCCCCCCTTTCTTGTACTTTTCTCATTGAGATCCTTTTCTCTTTATTAATAAAACTAGACCTAGGCACACATTGCCTAGCGGAATTGTTTAACAAAAAAAAAACTACTATTAGAATTGACCTTTGGTGGGTAGAGAAATTTAGAATGTGAAACCATTCAAATTAAAAAGAAAAAGAATTGAATGTTTTCATTTAATTTCCATCAACTTTCCTCCACAATAAGATTGCCTATCAAGAGTCCCACAAGTATAATTTCCTAGAAGGATGAAATGTACTGTTATTAATTATTGGAATGCAAAAAGAAGAAGCATGTGGTTTTACTGTGCATGTCACACTGAATGAAAATATATGTAAAGCACTTTTAGTCAAGTGAAATCACAGGCATACCTCCAAACCAGCTAAAAAAATATGATATTACTTATATAGATTTAATTAAATACATAATTTACCTAACCAGTTATCAAACATGATAAGAGTATTATTTATACAAATTTAATATGCGGATAATTTACCTCCAAATCAATGGCTTAGTGACTCGTTAAAGTGAATTTTGACCAATTATTCCAAACCAAATGAGAGATGACTCTTGATCAATTATTTCAATCCACTTATCAATAATGTGAAAGAGATTTAAAGAAGAATGACTTTGAAATGCCAAAAAGAAATTAAAGCAGATAGTTATACCGACAATTAACAGTCCATAGTGAATTATTGGAGGTATGAAACATTTTTCTTAAAAATATATTTAAAGATAAAAATTAAAAATTATTTTTTTAATATTTCTAAACTGTACAAATAATAATGATCATTGTTTTAATAATATGAACAAGTAAAAATCTACGAAGAGAGGGTAAGTAAATAGTATATCTATTAATATCATGACAAATAAAAGTGAAATACACATTTCTATGAAATATCTTGGAAACTTCCCTTTCATTTCTGTCATGCTTCTTTGGGGCTTGTAAATGACTTGACCCATTATTAATTTTCCAGGAACAAATAATTACCTGTGGGTATATGTAGAAGCTGCTTCACCCATCTTTCTTTCATTATTAAAACAAAAAATGATCTAAAAATCCCTTAAAATTATTGTCATCAAATATGCATGCACAGTTTGTTGTAGGAGAATCATCTTCTTCTTCCAACTTGTCTTATGATGTATTTCTCAGTTTCAGAGGCAAAGATACTCGCAAAACCTTCACCGGTCATCTTTACACCCAATTGTGTCAAGTCGGAGTTAATACCTTCATAGATGATGAGGAATTAAGAAAGGGAGACGTCATTTCAACCGAACTTGAGAAAGCAATTGAACAATCAAGGGTTGCCATTGTTGTTTTCTCCAAAAATTATGCTTCCTCTAGTTGGTGTCTTGATGAACTTGTCAAAATTCTCGATTGCAGAGTGAGGTTAAAAGCAGGTAGTTTTGCCTATTTTCTATGATGTTGATCCTTCTCAAGTGCGAAGGCAAACTGGGTCCTTTGGTGAAGCTTTGGCAAAACATAAGGAACGATTGTTTGGAGCTCAAAGAGTGGAGAAGTGGAAAGTTGCACTAACCGAAGCTGCGAATTTATCTGGATGGGATTTGCGAAATATTGCTGATGGGTAAGACTTCTTAATTCAACTTAAATTCCATGTCAAATCAAACAACATCACATGAACTGGGACGAGGAAGTAGTAGTAATGGGCAATCTCCATTCTCTAACCTCAATTTCCCTATTGGTTATTGTCTGTTGGGTATGGATTTTGTTTTGTTCATCA